CCCAGTGTACTAACCTCTATATGTGCCAGCATGTCCCAGCGTACAAACCTCTATGTGTGCCAGCATGTCCCAGTGTACAAACATCTATGTGTGCCAGTATGTCCATGTGTACAAACCTCTATGTGTGCCAGTATGTCTGAGTGTACAAACCTCTACATGTGCCTGTATGTCCCAGTGTACAAACCTCTACGTGTGCCAGTATGTCCCAGTGTACAAACCTCTACGTGTGCCAGTATGTCCCAGTGTACAAACCTCTACGTGTGCCAGTATGTCCCAGTGTACAAACCTCTTTGTGTGCCAGTGTGTCCCAGTGTATACAAACCTCTACGTGTGCCAGTATGTCCCAGTGTACAAATCTCTATATGTGCCAGTGTGTCCCAATGTACAAACCTCCATGTGTGTCAGTATTTCTCAGTGTACAAAAGTCTATATGTGCCAGTATGTCCCATATGCCTTCTGCTCACCAACCTGTAATCCCCTTTTCTGCTTAAATCCAACTTGTCCATAAAGTATATCCAAACTGATGACACAAATCACACCATTCCAGCAGCATTTTAGCATATTGGTATTTCGTTTACTGTATTTTTGCTTTCTGTTTTGCTTATGATTTATATAGTTACTATATATATATATACATCACTGTGACCAGAATGTTCCTTTAATTACCACAGTGAATGATGGGGGGGGGTGGAGGTCCAAAGCCCATTAGTAGGCCACTGGAGAGCCCCTTGCAGAGGGGTCTCGGGGAGGAATGTTTTCTTAAAGCTAGATTCCTACTGGTTTTGACAACTCAGAACAGTCCAAGAGAGGAAAGTAGGACTTCTCCATAGGGTTTGCTAGATTGAAATCTTTACGGATGCAGACTGCCACACCTTTCTTCCTCAGAGTGTCTGGTGGCTTAGAATTACCATCTTCTTGTTAGAAGAGCCCTTCACTATTGCAACACCAAGGCTTCTTATACTAGATGGATCTTACCTCTGAAAAGTAGACTTTAACACTCAAGTGAAGTTTGTTGTTAATTCAGTGCATATTAGATTCATGGGGGTGGCATTACTACTCTTTGAGATTTTATGCTTCTCTGTTGACTTTTCATGCTAAGATTTTCAAAGGCTTTATCTTTATTTTATTCCTTTGGCTATCTGTGAATTTGCTCCTTTTCATTTACTTCTGTTATTTTTTCCTGCAAGTTTGAAGTTGGATAGGCAATGGCTCTCAGTACAGCATTTGGTTATCATTTTTGTGAACTATCATTGTATGTACAAACAACTATTTTTGATTAAGCTAGAGAGATAAATTGTTTAAGTATTTTTTAAAGTTAGGCTCTCGCTTCCATTTAAAGGGGCTATTTTTTTAATAATAAACCAGCTGGAGAACACTCAGGAAGAATTAAAGTCTTCTCTATGTTTTGGGTAGGTCTGGAGGCACCATCAAATATCCAGGAGGGCCAAGTTACAGACTCTTCCATAGAAATCCTCTGGGATCGAGCTGATGGGGATTTCCAGCATTACGAAATCACATGCTTAAACTGTGCTCCTGCTTCCATGGTATGTTATCAAGGGCTCTTGGAAGAATTACACTTGAATATTTCATCATGAGGCCAACATTACTGCATTCTGACATGAGATTCCATGGAACTTAGTGACCATCAA